CAGAACGTGAGGAAGAACAGCAACTGGTCCTTCCCACCTCTGGAACTAGGAATAAAGAGCTGTTTGGATCCCCAGCAGTCCCCTCACCCCAGGCTGCGATTCCAACAGGCCAGCTGGGCCATCTTTCCTTGGAATCAAGGGAATTTTAACCTCTTGTCGGATACCCAAAATTAATCCCCATAGGACATCCTTAGAAACCTTTCATCCTGCACAGCTAGGGGCTCTGTGCAGCCCTTTGCTGTCTTCTCAAATGTAGATTATTTTTTTCCTCACAGGATCCCTGACACTGTCTACACAGTCTTCCTGGGGGAGGGGGAGCGATACTGCCCCTAAGGGGGCAAAAGTTAGATATTTGGCAGGGAAAAATCTTGGCTATGACAACGGTTTGTGGCCTTCGATATTGATGGCTTTACAATATATTGTAGGACTAAAATGGCATGGGGTGGGGTGGGCGATTATGGAAAAAATGTCTAAAGTCTCTTAAAGGGTGATAAAATGAAAGGGAAAAAAAAAGGTAGAAAAGCTGTGTAAGCAAGCCTCACCAAGGCTTAGCTGTAAATCTATCTTGGATGAAGTATGTCAGGTTATGAAATACCATTTCATGTAACTTCAGGAAGTCCTCTGTAAAGAGGAATGGGAAGAGAGAATGTCTCTACTCATGAAGAGAAGAGAAGGTGGTAAAGGCTGGGCGGGGCTAGTTGACGGGCTGCCCATAGCCCGTCTCTGAGCTAAGGCTCCTAGCCTAGGGCTGTGGCTGCAGTAAGACCTTACCCCGTCCCTGAGCCCCAGCCTCCCGGGGTTGTGGAACTGGGTCCTTCTCACACCTTTAATGGCACTAGATTCTCCTCAATCAATTCATTGACCCTAAAGGTTTTTTCCAGTAATTAAGGGAAAAGAGTATAAAAAGCATAGCGCAAGCCTGACATCTATATAAACAAAACTTTAAAACTTTAGTCTCAGGGAAGAAACGTCCCACCTGAGTTAGAACTGGACATGCCTAGAGAGGCCAGAAAATCTACTTCCCATATTGGAAGTTAACTTCCAGGGCGGGGGCTATCCAGGTGCCTTCAGCCAGATGGTCTTTGCAGCGACATATTTAAACAGGATAAGGAGAAACAGAAGTAGCTACTGTTGGGGTATATGCAGCTCTTGTCTCTCCTTGTTTTACATAAACTTCTTTTTGCCCTATTTAAAAAAAAAAATAGTATAAATTCCTTTTTCCCTACAGAACTGGAGTGTGATGGTTGGGATTTAGGCTTTCTAATATTCAGAATCCTGAATCCAGTGTTATGAAGCTCAACGCACTGTCACCATTTGAGGATAGGTAACTTCAGTCCTTCCAAAGAGAGTAAAATTGCACCTAGCATGGAAATAAGGCCTAAGGTTTCTATCACTCGGGTGTCAACCTAGTGTGACTCCCCATCAGGCAGTTCTGATGCCTTTTGATCTGGAATTTGGATGTAGTTGTTTCCTTCCTCCAAAGATGCTCCCCACCCCAACATACCTATCTATACTCTCTACAGGGTGACCACAATATCAGGAAATTTGGAATAAACTTTTTTAAGTGCTCATGGAGGGGCTGAGGGGGCTCAGGTACAGGAAGGGGTCTAAGGAGCGAGTGGGTTTGCGTGGGTGTTTATGGAGGCCAGCTGGGGCATGTGCTGGGAGGTGGAGGAGGGTGTGGGTGGGACTGTAAGGGACACTGGAGTGTGGGCACGCACGTGCCTGCAGAGGTAGGGGTGATGATGTGGGTGTGGGTCTACGGTGTTGTGCCAGGATAAACTTAAAGTCCGTTGCATTTTTAGATAATATGCCCTAGATAATATGCCCTTAAGCTTTCAGGCAAAGTACTTCAATGTATCTAACTGTTAACATGAAACATAAATCTACTCTAAAGTGTCCAAAATATCTGAAAACAGAAGACAGTGCATTTGTTGTACTTTTTTCAGATGAACCATGGATCCACTGCTTAAACTTTAGAGGTGTATCAACCTGAGAAGATATCTGATCTAGAGGCTGAAGAAAAACAGATTGAGCATACTATTAGAAAATGTAAACTAACGTACCACTTAAAAATAACTTTATCCTATGCTTCTTAATTTTGAAGACCCTCTATCACACAAACTAGAAGATCTAGCATTTCTTGAGGGTCTACTGTGTACAGAATCCTATTAAGTGTTTCATAATTATCATCTTATCTTTGCACAAGAACCTTCGCGTTCAGTGATACTATCCTATTTTGTGGATTAAAAAAGTGAGACTCAAATAAAGCAGAGGTTGCAAACTTAAATGCCCACGGAGATGATGTAAATGATTAAAATAAAGGGCATTTCCCCATATAAAGAAAGACCAGTTCAAGCCAGTTGTTGCTAAGCCGGAATTCAGGCCCAGTATTGCTAGATCCTTCGATTTTTCCAGAGAAGCCAGAAGTCTGGATTTGTGCCAAAATCCTCTGATTTTTTAGATATTGGTAACTAATTAAATTTTTTAAACCATGTGTTGGCCAAGCCAAACAGATGTGCAAAGCAAATTCAGCAGCAGGCCCTGTGACCTCTGAATCCAAGTAACTTGCTTAAGGTCTCACAACTGGGAAACAGCAGGACAAATCAGACCCCAGCTCAACCCACCTCAAAAGCATCTTTCTCTTAGGATATTATAGAAATAGCTGTACTGAATTACATGAAATTTTGTTTAAATGATTCAACTTCTAAAGCCACTGGCTCTAGAGAAGTGGCAGCTGTAGGAGGCTCTAGAGGAGGTGAGCAAGCAGCCCGGAGGATTCTTGCTGGGCCACATCGAGCAGGGGGTGTGGCTAGAATTTTAGCTCTTAAAATCTTCACAAAATGCAGACATTCCAACTGCATCTCCTGTCCACCTTCTGGATTTAACACAAACAAAAGGAAAATCAGGAAGCTTCTCACCCCACCCCAAAGACAGTCTAACTGGAAGCTGTAACCGAAACTTCCGAATGCACAAAACCCCCCTGGTCTCTCATTCAGAGTAGCCATTACACACCTTTTTTAGCAGGAGTACCCATCTCCTGATATTTACAGAGGCTGAGGTTTGGTTCAACCGTGTCCTAGCAGTACAGAGCACCAAAACGTAAATCAGACCCCTGCAATCACCGTATCACTAGTTTCCAAAGACTGGCTATGGTATTTAAAACAGAATTAATATTTCACTTCATTTTCCATTCTTGACTGTGCAAAAGGCTCTTCTGAAACAGCTGAGCTGACTTGCCTTATGGAGAATTAAAGAGCACCACGCATGCACGCACACGTAAGCAGCCATTTCTATAAGTGCCTGAGAAAATCACTCAGCTGAGTGGTTCAGAATGTTGGGAATCAGTTTTCTGTGTCGGGTAGATTCGGGTGGCTCACACTGGAACACTGCAGGCCTCCCTAGCTGCACAACCGGGCAGCTCCCTGAAGGAGAAAGTGCCTTTGCTCAAGGTGGCAGTGGGTGTCCAAGTGAACAACGGAACTCCCAGAACATGGCTGACACAGCCAGACCCGCCTAACAGCTGTTGGTAACACCCTCGGTTTAATACACCCCCATTTCACCCCTGGCAAGCAACACTAAGGTCACATCCCCCAATTCAGGCACATGTCTTTCAACAACCTTACAGATACAAACTTTAAAATATGCTATTTTATGGCAACTTGGATGACAACCCCAAACAGAACCTGATTTTGCATTAACCACAGAGGAAATTGTTTTATTCGTGTGCCAGCAACACCTCTACAAGAAGCACTTTCCAAAGGAAATAAAATATGAGATGCAGTTACGTGGCCTTTCTTTTCAAAAGCAAAACGAAACAAAATGAACCAATCATCATTTTAAAACCACAGGCCCGGGGCCTCATCTTAAAAGTGCCAAAAACTACACAAAATGACAATACTTTCCCAAGTAGCTCCAACAACAACCTTTTAAACATGGTGTCACAGGAGAGAGGAGAAAGGAGCTGCGTGAGAAGAGCCAGCCTTGTGCCTCCTTGTCAGAACGGCAGGCCTATGGAAACCTTACTAAAGATGGTGAGGCAGCAAGACCAAGGACCAAGACTTTCCAACTTTTTCTACGTTAAACAGAATCAACGGAATTGGCTAACCATGGTCCAAGTAAGTCTCTTTGCAAAGCCCATTTTATTTTGCAACTGCCTCTCTAGCCACATTCATCTGGCCACCCTGCCTTTCGCTCTTCCTGGGAGAGACCATTTCTTGCGGCCCCCAGAACGCTTCAACAGTCATCACCCTGCCTTGACCTCCAGCAGGAACCACACCTCCTCCTCCCTAACTGCCCTATTCAGGGTGTAGGGCGAACCTAAATCACGTGGAAAAAAAAAATTACCTCTGAAATCTCTCTCATTAAAGAGGTTAACTAGTCGTGAGTTTACCCACCAACCATCACTTGATCAAACTCCTCTGCTGCCCGACGCAGTGTTATTTTAAACCTCTCTGGGGACTCTTGGCCAAATTTAAAACCACCTTGGCAAGCCCTGAAAAGTAGCAAGCATACAGCTAAATGAGTCCTTAGTCATCCTTAAAAGGTTCCATGTAAAGTGTGCCGCATCTACCCAGGTCCTGGCCACGTTTCTGCAATCTCACATGAGAATTAAATAAAAGGTACGCCATTTGACTCCCCCACCCCAACCCCCGCCAGCCTCTGCCCAGGTAGGGTAGCCCCAACGTCGCCTGGTGCGGTAGTCCTGGGGGCGGGGCGGGACAGCGCCACTCCCCGCGAAGCAAAGCACGGGGGCTAGCATTCAGCACTCACTCTGTCCGCCAGTTTAATGCTTTCCGTAGCTTCCAGAGGCTGGGGACAATTAAGGAGAGTGAGCTTTCAGTCTCTACACGGTTCAAATATTTAAATAGTTAAACAGCATCTTATCCAAAATGTTTGCACCCTTTAGGCCGAGTGTGGTGTCCTTAACGCCCAGGAACGCTGCCAGGCCAAAGGTTAACTAACCCCAGAGGTCGGTGGGAGAGGGAGACGACGCTAACCTGTATGCACTCTGTAATGGGCTTTGAGATGGGAGGATTTTCCATAGACTTTCCCACAGCCACTGTAGGGGCACTTGTGCCTCTTTTCGGAGGCGTGTTTCCCCTTCGCAGCCACTCCAGGGTGGAGGAGGGAGAGCGGGCTGGGCGCGCTGCCAGGATCCTGTCTCTCCTCCGGGCTGTGGGAAGGACTCGACCCAGATTCGGTGGTCACGTCGCTGTCGGATCCCATATCCTCATCCGGACTCTCCAGACTGTCGCTGCACACCGAGGGGGTCTGGATGGGTCGGTACTTGTTCAGGTCCAACAAGCTCTTGGCGATGGTGACCAGTGTGCAGTAATCCTTCCAGGTGTCCCCCGGGTCACCGTGTTCCTTGGTCACCTCGCGCTCAGGTAGTCGCAGCCGCTCGGCGTCCGGAGCGCCCCCATGCTCCGGAACCGCGGCGCGGTTCGAAATGGAAACCAGACACTGGGCAGCCACGAAGTCCATGTAGGCGGCCGCGGACATGGTGCGGGCGACAGCAGCCCCGGCAGCGCGGTCAAACTTGGCGGTGGCTGCAGAGGTTCGGCTTACCCTGTCCTGGCCTCGGACGACGAACGCCGCGCGGCGGCCAAGGGGGCGGGGGCGCGGGGCGCTTCCGACTCGCAGGAGCGCCAAGGCGACCTCAGCCCCTCATCTTTACGTAACCCGCAGCGCCTCCGCACGCAGCCGCCACGGTGTGAACTCGCCGCGCTGCCGCCTCTCGCTGCCGCGGTGTCCTGCGCCCGGCGCAATCCCCCCGACGGGCGCGCCCACCGCTCCCAGCCGGCTTCCTTGGAAAGACGCCACACGTGGCGGTCGCAAGTTTATTCGACTGAATACGCCCCCGAGGCGCTGGGAGAGGAAACTGCAAGAGAGGTACACGCCCTCCGCCGCCTCTCCGTAGAGCTAAAGACCCAGGACATTCACCCGACCACCCCGACGCTCGTGGCAAGGGTGGGACCAAAATCCACGTCTAAGAGACACTTTTCCCCCAGTCCACTGACGGTTTCTGAGACCCTGCTCTTGCCCGTCCGCACCGTTCCGGCATTCTCTCGCTCAGTAACAATTTCGCAGAATCCCATCACGTCACAATTCAAACCCCCTCCAATTGGCCAGTGGGGAGGGTGATTCAACTCTGTTTACTTTCTCCCCCTGCCAGTCAGAACGGCCTTTCTGTGGAGAGGTGCGTCTAGAGCTGAAGCGTGCGACCAATCCGACCGTTCCGTTTCGATGCCTCGTGCTACCCCTACAGCCAGGAACGCTGACATTTAAAAGGGTAACAGCTCCGAGACTGGAAAGGAGCAGCCGCTCATCTTCTGGAGTGTCTCTAGCTCAGGTAGCGGGTCCAGGCCTCCTGACTCCCGTTCCAGCTTCTAGAGCTGTGGGACACACCTTCCCTAGTGGTTGCGCTCGTTCTCATGATAAAAGAGAACTTCTGGTTCGCTTTTCCAGATCGCAAACAGTTAAGTGACTTCCTGCAAACGCTACAGTCCCAGCAACCAGTCTTCCAATCAAAAGTAAGTTGGTTGATGTCACTGACATTGGCTCAGCCAATCAGAAGGGCGTTCCGAAAGCAAGCGCTCAACACTTGTAAATGCTTAGAGCTATAGTGAAACTGGACACATCCTTGTATTTTGTGCTGTTGGTAGTAAATTTGAGAAATGTACGAGGAGGGCAGGGGTGATGAGTAAATGCAGTGTGAGTCTATAATTTTAAAAAATTTAAGTGAAATGTCAGGCCAAGTTGCCCAAAGATAAACAATGAGAAAGCAGCAATTCATCGCCCCCCACCCCAGTTTTGGGATGCGGCATTCTTTAGGAAAGACTTTTAATAGTCCCTCCGCCCAATACATTAACTGTGACTATTTTATCTTAAAAATGCAAAGCTGACAAAGTTCTGTTTTAAAGCAGTCTTCCTATTCGTTGTCTATTTTTACACTGAAACACCCCATCATTGCTTTTGTTTTACCTCCAAACCCCTCTCCTTCCCTAATGCAATTTATTCTAATTTTTAACCCACCTTCAAATAAATAAAGACAAAAAACCCCCATTTGTATAACTTAAAAAAAAAAAAATCGTTCTTAGCTCAGTTTCTTTCCCCCAGATCCCTGCATGACTGTTAGGCATGTTTTCTTCCTTCACCTTACAAATGTGAAGACGGGGGACACAGAGAAGTGGCTTGTCTACCTTATCAGGTAGATAGTGACAGAATTCAACTGAAATCATAGATATCCTGATTTCTAGCTCTTTGAACTGTACAATAACTGAGCTCTTTGTTTTTGTGAAATATAAAACAGATTCTTAACTGCAACCAGCCAGAGATCCTTAGCCATTGAATACTATGTTATTACTTGATCAATAATTAGTCTGGGTCTTAGAGTCTGATTAACTGAGTTTGCCTCTCCCTCTTAATGAATGATGGGGTTGTTTTCCATCTTCATAGCTGAAAAAAGAACCTAGGGCTAATGTCTCTTGCAGAAGGCTTACTGTCAGCACAATTCACTTTCCTGTGTGTGAGACGTTCCTGCTTCTATGTGATGCAGAGCCAGTGAGATCCAACCATAACCCCCAGTGGCTGTTAGCCTTTATTAAGGTTTGGGAAAGTAACACCAGGTTCTTGGTTTCTAAAGGAAGGATCTCAAATTGAGCCTTCCCCACCCAGTCTGAAGGCTAGTGTAATTTATTTTGATTTTGTTTTTGAAGTGGCATAGGAAAATACTACAGTAGGTGACTACATGGGAAAAGGAAGTCTAGAAGGGGGATGCTGGCCAACCAACAATATCATCATCACCATCACATCATAGTAAGATACGTACATACATCATACCATGGAAAAGTGTACATCAAAGCATGTTAAAGTGAAGACATCTTAGGCTTCTTGTATACTAATCCCCTTAATTTTAGAAAAAAACTCACCAACCTCAAGAGAATTGGCCTACTTCATGATTTTTCTGGGACAAACTCTGTCCCCAAGGATACGTGATCACTTAGTAATTGCACCTTTGCTTGCCTCTTTAAGGTCCAGCAGAAATACCAGAGGGATCTCTCCAGGGTCCCTATCATAACGCTTGTACAGTCTCTCAGACTTGCATTGCAACTGGCATGGCATTGGGCATCTTCAGACAGCCCTGAGTTAACACTGGGGATGTTCCAGAAAGGAAGGAAAATCTGTATCTGTCCTTAAATTGTAATTCAGGAACTTGAATAGATCCATCATCATTTTTTTAATATAAACTTTCCTTTCCCTATTTCTTGCCTCTTCCCTTTAATTTAATTTGTTTTGGATTGGACATAACTCTTCCCTGAACTCTTCCAACTCATTCATATCAAACATATAAAAGAAAATGAAGATTTCATACACATGAATTTCTCTCACACATTTACAAACATAACTGTTGTTTGACCTAATTTAGAATATCTTTTTAAACCCAACAATTCTAAAATTGTAGGCTACTTTCTTCTTTTTCTCCTTTTCCACTCATTCACTCCCTAGATGTTTATGCTTCTGTTAATGAGCGAGGCATGGGGAAATACAGAAATAAAAATGCACTCTGCCCTCAATTAGGCTTGTAAGTTAAAGATACATATACACACACATAATATGCACACACACACACATCATAACAATAATTCCTACATTAAGACTTTTTTCTTGTATATTCAACAACAGGTTCCCATGCTGTATTGAAACGCATATTACAAGTTATATGATTAAAGCCAGCTTATGCTGTTTTGCCAGCATGTAGTTATTATAATTAAAATTCTGGCAGAATAGATTATCCCAAATTAATATGAATCATTCCTAATTACAATGAATAATTTACCAGTAAAGTATATATTGTGCCACATAAATATGAGGTCTGTTTTCCCCCAAGTTAGTCTTTATAAACACACATTTCAAGTCCACACAAACCAACTGGGAGGAGTAGAATTCAAAGACTATAACAGCGTTTCTAGTTTTTAAGTATGCATTTTCCTCTCTAAATTCTGCCTTAACCTTGGCTTCATTATCCAAGTTCTCAAGAACAATGGCTTCCTGGGCCTGAGTAAAGCTGTGTTCCTTTAGACAATCTCTTAGACCTATTTCTTGTCAATTAATGGGATTCGATTCGTGCATCGCCACGCTCCCTTCCAAGCTCGAAATATTCCAGGGATTCCTCCTGCCCTCCCCCGCGCCAAAAAAATCCTAGGGAAAGACTTGGGCAAGACTTGGGTTCTTTCAATGCCACTTCTTTGCTGCAGCGAATGTCAGAATACATCGATATTTAACGGGATAGCAGGCACAACTATAAATTTGTTCAAAATCCCTTAAAACCCTTCTTCCTTAACTTCATGGTCTCGCTTTTCCTTTTTCCATGCTAGTCTGTGGCAAGTGGCCTGGAGGGCTCATAGGATCCTATTCTTTTTGCTAAGTAAGTTTTCAACCCTAGCCCAAAGTGAAGTATTTCTAGGCTGAATGCAGCCTACTCCCAGGCCCCTCCCCTGGAGATTTTTAATCAACTTGAGCGCAGAGTTTACCCAACTAGCCTGGGTAGAGCTAATCCCCTGGAGGGAAGTGTAGGTTAAAATCGCACTCTGGAGGCACTGGGTTTCGCCAACTCTGGCTTTTTCATTCTTTCCTACTGGGAGGCGTGGCCGGTGCTGGGCAGAGCTGCCAGCCTCTAGGCGGGAAGGAAGGAGAACAGATGGCCCGCTGAGGGTAGGGGATCACGTGTCAGACCTTAGTCTGGGCTGGATCCAGAGTTCTTTCTGGACCCTGGCCCTTCGCCTTCAGCGACCCCAGCTAGGCCCACAGGGCAAATTTTGGCGTAAGCAGTGTTCATCTTAGTGTAAACATAGGAATTAGAAGAAAGCGAGTTTGGGGAGGAGGCGGGGCTGAAGGGATCGGGCTTCCAACAATGGCTGAGTTCCTGGATTTGAAATACAATCAGGCGAAGCCCTACGGGGCGAAACCCCCGTGGCCTTAACGACAGTTAAAACCCAGGGGCTGGAGAGGGAGGGTGTACTCTGACCCGCGTGAAAACTTGCACGACGCCCTACTTTGCTCTCGCTCCACTTAGCAACCTTCCGCAAAACTCCAGGCCTCTCCTTTGCCAAGCAGAAAGGCCACCCGTTCATGCATATGCAGGAGGATAAGTTTAGCTCACAGCCCCCCAAGCTCCGAGAAACCCCGCTCAGCGCACGGTGAATCACCCACGTTCGGGGGCGGGCGCAAGGCTCAGACCGCGGACTGGCGGGCCGCTCAGCCACTTGCAAGCCGCGCGCCCCGGCCCTGGCATCGCCCTTTTAAAAAGTCTTCCGCAGGCGGCCACCGCAGCAGCAGCCTGAGGAGGCGAGTTCATCTGAGGACAGTCCCAGTTCTCAGAAATCCCTTCCCTGCTGGAACATCAAGCTCCCTTTACTGCAGTTGAACAAACTGCCCTAGATTGGGGGATGAGGAACCCACCCCCCCAAACTCGTGCAAGGAGCTCCGGGCGCCCGCGCCCACGTGAGCTAACCTTGAAATTAGCCCCCGCACCGGGGCGGGAGGTGGAGGGGGCGGGAGTGGGCGGGGGCGGGTTGTTGGTCCCTCGCGGTCCAACCCCTTGGGTTTGCGCCCTCCGCGTGCGCGTACCGCCCCCACCACTGTTTCGTAACTCTAGAGGGACTG